GGGAGCAGATCTGATCTGGCATGTTTGGAAGAGGAAAATGCTCCCAAGTCTTCAGAGAGAAGGAGAGATACTCTGGTTCAAAGCCAGGGAAACTAGCACACCATGAGAGAGCTGAGGGAGACAAATGCAGGGATGGAGGGTGAGAGTGACAAGTAGGGGGACTGATTAGTGAAGTAAACCACTTTGAGCAGCAAAGGGAATCCCCTGGGTGGAAGATAAGTGAACAGGAGGAGAGACACTCGCAGAGAAAGATGAGGAGGAGGGGAATAAAAGACAGGAGAGATTGGACAGAGGATGGAAGACATCCAAGCAGAATTTACAGAAGCTCTCCTTCTGTGACACAGCAGGCACCAACCCTAACTGTACTGGGGACACTGTAAGGGACACAGCGGGGGGATACAAACAGATCTAAACTTCCCAGCAGAGTAACCTTTGTTCCTGACTACAGAGCCTCCACAAGCTCCTCTTTATTAACAGTATTGTGGATTGGAGGAAGCCCCTCCCCTTCTCTGAGCCTCAGGGTGGACACTTTGCATAATGGGTTGCATCTTTAAGCATTCATTAAGCCACTTAGTAGAAGTAGTGGGCAAGGTGCAGGAAGTCTACAGCATGTAGAAAAGAAACAATCAGATGCACTAGAGTTTCTGCGTGGCGCTGCAAGCCATCTGCAATTCTAATCAGCTGCTTGATGAAGACCTCGGCGCCACACGAAAGGGGAAAAAAGACTCTGCTGTGCCTAATATTCAGAGTGACAAGTGCACCGGGAGAGAAAACAGAGATGGAGATGAATGCTGAGATTGTGAAAGCTGAACTGAAGCAAGATGGGATGTATGGAAATGATGGGGAAGAGCACACATACAAAACCAACAGATTATTTTCCTTATTAGTGGAACATTAGCTCATCGTGTGGTCGGGAAGCTGCGTCTACAGAAGGGTGCATGCATTGTGTCCTTGCTGGGATGTAAAACAAACATGTGCTTAGGTCCTGGAAAGTGGGAATGTTTGTGTCCCGACTGGAAGGCTGATTATTCCTCTAATTCTCAGCCTCCTTTTTATTTACAAAGAGGTCCTGAAAATAAGCGTTGTCTAACCTTAGTCTTGCTAGTAATGAGACGTGGGCAGGAAATACCCTTCCTCAAAAGCAAAATGTCAGTTTATGACATGTGGAAAGCACATGAAGCTCATTAAGGAGGAGAAGGAGGGATGGTTAATAAACTTAAAATATAAACATCCGAGTTTAGGAAAAATACTCGTTAATCTCCAGTGACTCCTGCAGAAAATGAAAACAAAGGGAAAAATAAGTTGGTGCTGCAACTTTCTTAAACCATAAAAACTCAGCCCTGGCATAAACTCTTCCCACCGCTCTGATTAGCAAGTACTTATCTGAGTACACTGCATGACAGCTGACATGAGCAGTGCTCAGTTTCTTGCATTAACTGCTGCAGACAAGTGAGGGGGGTGCTAACATTAAATTATCCTGCAAAATTAAAAAAGTTCTGACAAGATTAGATTTGTGATTTGGTGAGTAAATGTGTTTCTAAGTTCTTACACCGGGCTCATTACGGGAAGAGATGAAGTATAACAAAGGAACTGCACTTCGGCACTCGAGACTTTCAAATGGTTCAAAATGGTTTCCATGAATGGGCTGCGCAGTGGAGCAGTGGTTAGAGCTGTTGCCTTGCAGCAAGAACGTCCTGGGTTCGCTTCCCAGCCTGGGATCTGTCTGCATGGAGTTTGCATGTTCTCCCTGTGCATGCGTGGGTTCTCTCCGGGTACTCCGGCTTCCTCCCACAGTCCAAAAACATGACTGTTAGGTTAACTGGTCTGTCTAAATTGTCCTTAGGTGTGAGTGTGTGTGTGATTGTTTGTCCTGTGTTTCTCTGTGTTGCCCTGAGATGGACTGGCTCTCCAGGGTGTACCACGCCTGATTGCCCATTGAACGCTGGAGATAGGCACCAGCCCCCTCACGACCCTACATGGACAACGCGGGTTCAGACAGTGGATGGATGGATTGGTTTCCATGAATTATTCCATCACTTCAGATTTTGTTGGACAGTTTTCTGGCGACGTGGTGGCTGCTGCTTCTCTCAGTCTTCTCCTTTTAAACGTATTACACAGACAATAAATGACTGAGGCAAGCACGTCATACAGTGTTAAAAAAGAAGAGAGGGTGTTGAGAAATCCCTTCATTTGACAGTTAACTTCATGTTTTCTGCATCTCTGATGCAGTATGAGGGTAAATTGGATTAGTAGGGGATTTCCAGTTTGTTTAGTTTCCCTCTTTCCTTTAATTCCTAGATACAGATTGTGCAAACACCTCTGCACAGCAGCCCTCTTGCTAATATAACCCCCTTGTGTGTTCTAAACCTCCTCACCGTGTCTCCGGGCTCCCGGGGAATCCCAACGAAAAGGTGATCCAGGAAGTTGGCGCTGCGTCCGAGGCCCAGCACAGTGTAGGGCAGCTGCAGGGAGAAATGAGCCGACTGACTCAACTGACCAGCTGCAGAGAGACGGGGTGGGTGTTAATGGAAAATAACCACTGTAGTTAAAACAATCAGTTGGTTTGATCTCTTCTCAAAAACCTGGAAAGCAGTCAGGTAGAGCTTGTGTTGAATAACAATTCACTAATGTTTACATTTATCTCATTAGATAAACAGTTTTAAAAGTTAACCTTGAGTGTTTTTTTCTCCATATATCAGCAACATTCCTTGTGCACGCACACGCACACACACACACACAGCCTTAAGCGCAGAAAACGGAATGCAGAATATCAGCAGGGGGACAGATTGAGACAGAATGTCATGCGTCTGTGACAGTGTGTGTGTCCGTCACTGTGACCCGATTGATCATGCCCCCTGGCTACTCGTACAGGGGAGGTCTCTGTTTGGGTGACTGGTTAGCGTGTGTGACTATCACCCGGGAGTCTGGAGATCCAATCCTGATTGGACCTTTTTTTACATCCGCCACAGATCTCTCTGAAGAATTCACAACATTGACGGCTTCAGCAATGCTGTGCCACTCCGTGGATTTTCTCTTATTTGTTTTGCAAAAGTACTTCCTTTCATTTCTCCACCTCACCCACAAGTGCCTCAATTTCTGCTTCTGGGAATTAGCGCTTCCTTGATCTGCCGTGATCTACGGTCGCCATCGTCATTGGCGGGAGCGCTGCAACAGCCGGCTTATGCATATGCATGAGGTCCACAAGGCACGTTGCATTGACTATTTATGGCAGTAAGTGGGCATGGTGAGGGTGGGGTGTGACTAAAATGCAGCTGAGAAACATTCTCCTTAGTCTCCGATTTATGAAGCAAAGATTGCGTGCAGCTGTGCGTACTCCATGTTTGATAGATCACAAACCTACTTGGCGTAAGTACATTTTTTTTGCTGAGCTTGAGTACAGTTTTAGTAAGGATTCTACGCAATATTTGACAAATGAGACCCCTGAGCTTTAGGTTGAGAGTGTGTTTCACTATAACACAAGGCTTTACCACACTGGTGACCAGAGCACCCAACAGTTTCATTCCAGCTCCAGTCCATCTGCTCCACACTGGCAGTTTATTGTTGAATATTTACTCCTAGCTCAGTTTTCTAAATGCAAACAAACAAAAGATCCAACTAGCGGTGCACGTTTCTACCCTCTGCTCTGTATGAAATAAGCTTTATGGACGATAATTGCTAAAAATAAACAAAAGTTTGTTTTGCGGCTTAATTTCCCCAAAGGGACCATTGAAGTGTTGCTTCATGCATTGTTCAAGGCTGTAACTTTAACCTATTCAGAACTAGACTGAGAAGACTAAAACATACAAGCGAGCGTAATGAGGGGGATGAGAGCCGAACACAGAACCAGAGCGCCTGAGCCACGGGGCCCGCAGCGTGAGGCCTTGTGTTCTGATGCGAACAGCCATCATAAAAGATCCAAATCAGACAGAAACACCTGAGGCCTGCGCAACACCTCACCCAGCCTCCCACCTCATCCCCATTCTGTAATCTCTCCCTTCTCACTTTGCTATTCTCATCCAACCCCTCAGTGTTTAGCTTCCTTCTTTTAGCTCCTCTCCATATCTGTTTCCACTGGTGCATCACTCAGATTTGGCCTTTTGCTTCTCCTCCCTCCTCGTATCCTCTCTCGCTCCACTTCAGCTGCAGTAGCTCGCCCACGCCACCCAGCTCTGCCAAATGCAGCTGACATAAATCAACCTCTATGTGGTAAACAAAGAGAGGGAAAAAGCGAGGGAAGGATGGAAGAAGAGAGCAAGAGCCTGAAGGCAGCCAGTGATCACAACTAATGTGGATGGACTGCGTATTGCAGACCAGGAGGAGGACAGCAGATTTTAACATTTGTCTAATTCATCTCTACTTCAGAAAAAAAAATGGTCACTTGAACTAAGGTCACGAGAGTTCACCTCATTGCAGGTCAACATGAAAGGATTTTTCTTGTTGCACGACGAAAGCTAAAATTTCCTCCTCAGAACAGAGAACGCAGGGACATCACCTGATCAATGGTGGAGCGAGTAACAAATCCCTTGCTTACGGCGCCTCCTCTATTTTCAGACTACAATCAGCATGACACCACTGATATTTATAAACATTGTTGCTCCATGTAAATCAGTAAAGTATCTCAGCTACAGCGATTTTAATGAAAGTCTGAGAGAATAATGGCCAGATGAACATCTGCCGAAGAATAACTTTTAGAGGCAACCTAATTCAAGATGGCCGCCACAGCTGATCAATATAATAAAAACAACAAGAGCCATAACTCAGTCCATCTGACAGATATCGAGTTTGTGTTGAAGCTTTTAAAAGCCACACAGAATCTGTGCGCTACAGATTGTAGATCTTTGTGTAAGGCCTGGTCCACACAGCAGGATAATCATGCTGATGAACGCCTCCTCCATCTTTCTGGCAATATCCATCAAAATGTTGTTGAAAACAAAGAAATGATGCGCAGTTGTTGAAAAATGTTGGTGGCTTTTCACCACATAACCATAAAAATCAGGTCTAATATACATGGGAGTGGGTCTAAGTCTTTGGGCGACGCCGTATTAGATGTCATGTTTCCTTCTACAGAAGCCCATGAGGACAAAATGCCTTTTTTGATTTGTAACAAATTTTTGCAAAACTTTCATCGTTCTTAAATGTTGTTGTTTTACACATTTACCTCTTCACCAGTGATTAAAGGGAGTCTGATGTGCTTATTATTTTGCTAAAGTTTGCACTCCCCAAGGCTTTTTGACCCTAATGGGCATCCATTGGTAAGGTCTTACTCCAACACACAATAGTACTTGCTTCAACAATTTAGGTATCTACTGCCCCCCATTGCCAGGAAAAATACACACTGTAACTTTAAGGATGCCCCGATTACAGTAATGGCTCTAAAGACAATCTGATCAGATAGTCCTGCTGTGTGTTGTGTGTTAGGAGCGCTCTGGTCTGCTCAGAAGCACATGAGGACCCCTCAAATCACAAATCAGGAATATTCATCATGTTGGGTTGTCATTACAACATCCTGTTTTGTTGAATGTAACGTGTACCTTGCTAGAAAGCAAAGTGATGGAAGCATCCTGCTCCTCTGCCATGTTTTACTCTGAAGTCACATTTGATCCTAAAAGGTTTCTCGTCAGACTGAGGCATGTTGTGAAATTGGTTTATGTGTGGTCAGTAGTTTTAGCCATGTGGCTGCACGCAACACACGTTAGCACCAAATCTGCTACATCAGTGATATTTTGTCACCACATGTAGGGGTTCTCTCATGGTTTGAAAATCTCCGGAAAATGTTTAAATCCTGCCACGTGAACTGGGCCTAAAACACTGGTGTTCAGTTCTGAGCCACTATCCTTCATGCTGATTCAGTGTGAGTGTGTTACGCATCCATTCAGTCAAATCAGATGTGTTAAAGCAGTCAACCCATTTCAAGATGGCTGCCGGCTTTAGCCATTATAAAAAGACTAAAGCTCAGTCACTTTGATGCATTTTCAATAACAACTTGACGTAATAATAGCTGGGAGTCAATCACAACACCTACTCCAAGCACCAACAGGTCTCAAAAGATATTATCATCTTTAGAGAGACAGAATAATATTATTTCCAAAGTTCGACCAAAATGGCTTCAACGCCATAATTTCTCAACAAAAGGTGATTGGCAGCAGGTGACATGCATTCTTTCTAGGATTGATGGCATTTCCATTTTGAATCAGTAATTTAGATTTTTTTTTCTCTATGTTTTGCTGCTGGTTTGCTGTGAAGATGTTGAATAAATATCAGAAATACACATGACCATACCAGAAAGAGGGGGGTGGAAAAAACCTTGTCCACTTCCAGAAGGAGCTGGGTACAATTTCATGGCTGCTGACCTGTTTGGGGTAGCGTGCAGTACTGGCTTCTAACGTACAACAAAGCTGAAACCTGGGGTGTCTGACATTTATGTGAGTGGGTAGGAGACGTGAAAAACTGGATTTTTCAGTTCTGGATGACCTTTAACAATAACCTGGTACATTAAACTCGCATAATACCAGATGGGAGGGACGAGATCAAACTAGAGTCCTCATTAGTGTGGCTATTTAATCCTAATTTTAATGAAGGGAATTATTTTAGTAGGTTTGTCAGTTCATCCCAACATGAAATGATTAGCTCAAAATAAACGGATTACAAAAAAATGAATGGTTTCTAGCACAGCAAGTGATCTAAAGTAAATTGGATTCCCATACTGCATATATTCATGATGCCCAGAAGAGAAATGCTAATGACTGTGTGCATCTACCACCACTACAGAAAGTTATTTCTCCAGCAAACGGTCTCTACTTCCTCTGTGCACACTGTAACATTAGAGATGAAGGACATGACATTCCCAGCTTCCCTAGCACTACTTTATGTTTTCTGCTAATTAGTCATTTACTGTATAGCCACAAATTAGCGTTGCTTTGACCAGAGTATAAGGACAGTAAGAGTTATGACAATCTGTCAGTAAATCAGTAATTTACACAGAACCACGTCATCATTCATGAAAGCTAGAATTTGTGATTTCATCACCTTAACCGAGCATCTGGAGCCAAAGCCCTCTGTAGAGATACTGATCAATGTTTACGGAGTACCTACCAGAAGGATCGCTACATCTCACAGACTGGACTTTACCATTAACCTTGGAGAAGATTTAATGTAGTGAAAAACCACTGAGGTCAGATCTTTAGTGTTTTATTTATGGTCCAAACTTCATTCAGCTGCATCACGATTACCTAAAGGGCCTGAGAGGTAACGGATTTGGTAAAAATCAAAAGAAAAGCACGATAAATTTATCAAAATTACATTGCTTAGCTGTGCTAACGGCTCATAAATACCCAGATAAAAAAATGTTTGATACATACATACAGTACAGGCCAAAAGTTTGGATTCAATGACTTTCCTTTATTTTCGTGACCATTCACATTGGTAGATTCTCACTGAAGGCATCAGAACTATGAATGAACACATGTGGAGTTATGTACTTAACCAAAAAAGGTAAAATAA